TTTGTTGTACATGGACTTGAAGCTGACATTACTCTTGATCAGTTAGGTTGTATTTGGGCAAGGAGCTAAGAGTGCATGTAATCCATGATCATTTTCTGAACTGGAAACTTTGACTGTTAAACAGAAGTAGTAGTTATGAATATGGTTCTTTTGTTTACTGGTACAGTGAGTTACCTTTGGTCATGGTACAACCAGAGGGAGATCCACCTATTGCATGGTGGGATGAAGATGCTGATCGTTCATTGCTTGTGGGTGTCTTCAAACATGGTAAATATGTAATCATAATTTCAATAAATTCTGTTCTATATTCACATGGGAACTTCTCATTGCTGTATTTATGTGTGGTAAATATCGGATATTTTTTGTTATTTTTGTTGCAACATGTAAGGGTTAGTTTCAACGTGATCTGCATTTGTTGCAGGTTATGAACGGTATGTGGCCATGAGGACAGACCCAACACTCTGCTTCCTATCCAGGTGTGGTGCTCCAGACAAGAGGGAGATTGCCAGAGAAAATGCTGACAATGATGACAGGTAAATAGAAGCACTTTAGTATTTTGACTGTGTTCCTTCAGAGATCCTTTCAGGCATTACCTAAACCAAACTAGAATACCTCTGTATTAAGTTAACAAGCAAATATAGGACTCTTTAACAGTAGACTAATCAAATATAGGACTCTTTAACAGTAGAATAATCAAATATAGGACTCTTTAACAGTAGAATAATCAAATATAGGACTCTTTAACAGTAGAATAATCAAATATAGGACTCTTTAACAGTAGAATATTCAAATATAGGACTCTTTAACAGTAGAATAATTAAAACTTTCTCCTGAAATAGACATCCAGATGATTTACTCTGCTTTAGAAAAAGTCTAAACCTTTCTTTTTAAAATTCAAAATATTATAATTAATACATCAACAGTTATAATTTCCAGTCACCCGGTGTAACACCCTATGTAGGGTGCTCTATGTTTTTGAATTTTTGAAAATTTCCAACTGTCCAAAGTGAAATCATTGAAGTCAGAGTGAAATCAAGTCATCACATATGTTGTCTTCACTCAGTATCTGGTGATGGCCATGTTGACAGTGCATGTTTGTGTGAAATGATGAATGTTGTCATGCTAATACTGAGTGCTCACATGTCTGTTGGAATGACTGCATGCTGGAGCTCAATGAGTTCAAACTCTTCTCAATAAGTGCATTCTGATCACACAAGCACATATTTATGAGATTGTACCATTGAAAGGCAGTTTCTAGCAATTGGAAAGTTTATTGAGCAAAACAAATAACTCCCCGAACCCTATTATGGTTAAAGTAAACTAGTAGAAGTTTATGTGATCCATAGCATTGTTAAGGTTTACAGATGGGTGATTAAAATGTAGACATTTCTATTTCTGTAGTCAACTTGATGTGGAATCAATGGAAACTGGTGCTGAGCTGGAGCCGGGAGCAGAACTAGACATCAAACCAGTCATTAAGCAGTTGAGAGAAGACTGTCTAGAGGTATGTTGTAATGACAGTCTAGTGGATTCGCTTCATTCATTTACTCCAGAAACCTGCATTTGTTGTTATATATGCTGATGTTATCCAAATACATTGTCGGCTCATTCAGTTTTTCTCTTGAAATGATAATTTTAACACTCCACTTATGAGTAACAGTATTTACAGCACTCATTGATGAGTTTGTTCTGCAATGCTGATCAAGAGGAACTGACTTTGTTCTTCCGATACTCAGTCTGAGTATGCAGTGTTTATGAATATACATCCAGTAAGGGCAAACCCATAATTGAATTCCTCAATCCTTCAAAACAGGTGAAGGATTAACAACTGAAAGTTTAATGAGACAGTAATATCTCTTATCCTGTCTTCAATCTGTCTGGTAGTGTGTTGCGAAGGTGCTTTTTATCCTACCCTCCCCAACTTTATTAAAATAAACCACATCAGTATAGCATTTAAATTTTCTTTGTCAGGATGGATCTTTGTCACCCTCAAGTACTCGTACATCATCTCCTGCACCTGCAAAATTAAAACCTGAGCCTGAACCAACAACAATGCCAGGTAAATTCTACACATTTAAAAGTCTTTATCTCCAAAGCATGTCTTGGTTTCTCTTGAAATGATGAGCAAACAACACATTGGCTGAGTGAAGTGTCTGTGCATTGATGCACAAGTTCTGCAATGCTGATCAAGAGAAATAATTGAAAATTATGACACTGCTAGTGGTCCTATAGAGTGAAAATTCGTTAAGACTCCTGTTCACTCACTCAACCATTTAGACAGCATAGGATGGTTTTGCCGAGCTCTTGTGCCTGCAGCCTCACTCCACTTGCAGTCAACTTTTGTAAATCTGAGATTGTGTACTGTCATCCAAGAATAGTGAGATGACACTGAAATACCCCATTTTTGTTACCCTAATACACAAGAATTACATTAGCATGCACCTGTTATTTTGTTTTATATTAGATTATAGTGCTCTGCAATATTTCACTAATCCCTGCTTTCACAATATTTAGAATTGTCAACTTTGTATGAATTTGTGCTGATTGTTTTATTTAAACTGTTTAGGATTATCAAACCCCACAGGAAATAATAATTGCTGGTTTGTTCTGACTGGAATTGTAAAAGAAATCTCTAAACAACCTGTTGCATTTCAAAAGACCCAGGAAGTATATAGTTCAAAGAGCATGAATGAAAGTACTAGATTCCTAGGATAGGCATTCAGCTTACGTTGGATTTTGAGTCACTGCAGGAAAACAAACTGTTAAACGGCCTTCTTGTTTTTTTGGGGGGGGGTTTACTGGTTTTTTAATTTGGCCTCATTTATTATACATTTTATTTAAATTACTTGTAGTAATTCCAGGCAAGTTGCCCTTCCCTCTTGCTCCTGATGTTAACACACGACTCCGACGACTTGTAGCAGCCTACCAAAGAAACCACAAGAGACAACAGCAGAAGCAAGCCAAGCGTGCCCGGGTATGTTGAATTAACCTTACTTTCAGAATTTTTGTCTCCATTTTAATATGTGTTGAAAAATATTTTAGGGGCCATTGTCATGTTACAAAAGTCATTGGATTAACCATATTTATTGACATCGAGGGTCCTTAGTAAGAGGACACGCATTGTTGGCTTGGAAGTTGTGAGAACTGGAACAGAGAAGATGACAAAATGTTCCTGTTTGGAGATAGGATGACTCAAACTCAGATTACTAAAAGTTGAAGATTAGGAAAGTGTCATTGTCCTAACCTGACCTGATATTAGTTCATTGATAATGAGAATATGCAGATTCTTATGAAAAAACATGAATTTTTACATTGTGGAGACTTTCTGGAGACTTTCTAGACACTTAATATTTTCTTGTTTTCTTTGACAGCGCGAGATGGTGAAACAAGTACGATTTGAGGAACAGCTAAGACAGCGCCAACTCAAGAAACAAGAAAATGCCCAGAAGTAAGCCGCAATCAAATCAGTGGTGACCCTTAAGAGCCAGTGATTTCTCTTGATCTGTTCTGTTGGAAGCTTGACAAAACCATTGAAACCTCCTCTGGAAGTGGAAACCAGTGTTCAATGCAAATTAACTGTTTTGGGTATTTGTAATTCACAAAAATAGTTCTTCACAAATTTTTCCGGTATTACGCTGGAGGGGGGCTAATTTATTATATATCATTTATATAATGCATGGCATGACTAAATTTTGTTGAAAGAAAAAATTTACAATAAAATGTAAAATTGCTGTGACTTCTAAACAGGCATTTTTGACAGAAAATAGATTGTTCCTTGATGTTTTACAGTTTTTTTCTACAGGATTACAAACACCACATCAGTCTCTAAGTCAGAAATCAGCCAGCTTATGGTTTTCCTTGAAACTTTGTATACCGAGTTAAGTTTATTTAACCACTTCGTACCGGGGCATTTTTCAACATTGATGATGCTGGGCCGGCATGACTATCATTTTTTCCATTTTCAAAATCTTTCAAAAATTCATCATTCAATTTAACGGTCGTTTATAGCCGCACAAAGTAATCTGTAGGC